ACCACTACCTCATCTTCTTCTCCATTATCAACATATTCCTTTACTTTACCTGCTATTATGTATGCAAGGTAAATAAAAAAAAATAAATTGATGATTAAGAAATTAGATTTTACTTTCTGTTAAGTTTTAAAATTGTCGTTTGGTTTCTTTTGCAATATATATTTATATTAAAATTGATCTGAAAGGAAATGTTAAAGTTCTGTAGTTCTTGTTTAATTTATCAGTTTGACTTTGAATGTTTAGCCAAAAAAAAAAAAATGATGAATGAAGAAATGAAAGCTAAGGCTCTGAAGGATTAAAGCTGTCATGTTGGCTATCTAATAATAGAGATTTAAGGTAGAATAGGAAAAAGATTCAAGGTTTATAGGATTTAGTTTTTTTTTACTGTCAAAATAGGATTTAAATTAAATCTTAACTAAGTCTTACTCTAATCGTAATATCAAGCTTATCTCTCTCCCGTTCTCTTTCTTTCTCTAAATAGATAGAGAAAGTCTTCTTCTGCACCAATAAATCCACACCACCCACAAACCTCACAATCCACCACTTTCTCTCTCTAAAAACATATCATGCACCCTTCCAAGCTCCTCCATAATCCTCATTTCCCTTAAAGCAGGTCTTTAGTTACTAGAGTGTAAGAGGCTTGACACACTCCATCAAACTAATAATCCTAATTTTTCCCTATATCATAGGTGATCAACCATCCGATTAAAGATTGCTATATTAAAAATTGATTATAAGGAACTACTTAAAAAGAGTTCACATTATCAAATATTATCTTAGTTCATCCTGGAAGGGTATCAACACGGGTGGCTATATCCTATTGTGTACCCTCAATTAAAGGAAAAACAAAGAAAAACTCAATTTAGGATGAGCAATAGGTGACTTGGGTTTCTAAGAAGGTGAAAATGTTGAAGCAGCTTGAAGGAGTTTCTGATGTGAAGTGGAAATCTTCAACTAAACCAGTACTTGAATTAAAAGGGTTTCCAGCTCCAAGTGCATCTATATCTTGACATCAAGCAAGTGGGCATCCTAGCAAAGCTAGCTCATCTAAATTTGACAAGATGATGTTGAATTCGCTCAAAAGAATCTTATCGAGAAACTAAGGTGAAGAATATTGCAAACCAAAGGGTTATAGATAATCTGAGTGATTATTATCAGCCCATAAGGCAACCTGTTAGGCTTGGTGATTTCATGTCAGAACTCTAATTATCACAGAAGAATTGAATGAGAATGGAGAATCTCTTCCAGTTCAAACAGGCTGAGTTATCTCAACAACGTCAAATGCCCATCAACAAATCTTTCCTCAAATTCATTGTAGAGTTGCAATGACAATCCAAAAGAAGTATCAGAAAGTCTATCTTAGTTAAAGTCGTGAATCTGGTAAAATAACATGAGTCCAATCTAATGTTGCTATATATAAATGATAGGAGAATTTATATTTTCCTGATGAAAGATGCCCACAAATTTTTTTGATGCCTTAAGCGCCAAAATAAATAACTTCGTCATACGTCATCGGAGATTTTGAACTATCTTTTATCCCCAGACAAATGGATTGGGTGGGGCCTTCAATAAGTGTAAATTCTAAAAAAAAAATCTTAGATGATAATAAAGCATCAACGATGTGAAAGTTAGGAGAAGTTTTGTTGTCATATCAAACGACATATGAAACTACTAATCAGTCTACGCCGTGTCTTTGGAACTGAGGTTCTTCTCCCTTTGGAGGTACAACTGCCTTCTCAGCGTATCACAATGAACTATAAAATAACTTCAGGACAAAATGTCAGACTTCGATTAAAAGAGCTCTATGGTTTAGAAGAAAAGCAGTTGCAAGCTCAACATAATCTCGAGTTATATAAAGTGCATATGATTCAAGCACATGACCAATTATCTTTCAAGCAGGAGACTTATTCGTGGTTCTACGAAGACCCATTTTGGTCCATAGAAAGTTTGAAGATAAAAATTTGAACCAATGTGAGAAGATTCGTTTGTGGTGGAGACAGTCTATCAAGGAGTATCCTACGAGTTAGTAAATTATAAAGGAAATCATCTCATACCCAAGAAGTATTATGATTGATGATGTGTAAAAATGGAAATTTTTAATAAATAAAACAAATTCTAAAGTTTAAATTGCTTGTGCTGTTGAAGTTTCATAATGAACTGGGTAAAGTAACAAGACTTGGTTTTGGAGAACCATGACTGAAAGTGTTGCAATTTAAAAATCTATGTGCTTGCTTAAAATGTTTCCCATTTGTATAATGCCTGTTGGTTCTTAATAATTGGAGTAAGATTATCCAGCAGAGTCGCTAGAAATTTTTTTGGATAGAATTCATTATGCCAATGATTTTGCCCTATGTTTCTCTATCAAATCTTCATAGTTAACAACATACTATCTCGAAAGACAGATTAATATTTGTTTATCGATTCAAAAATAAAAAAAAATATAATTTATTTTCATGTTCAAACTCAACATAAAGAATAATATATATCTCAAGAGATAAACATGACATTCACCTATCATTTTGAAAATAAAATTAGCAAATGTATAAGACATTATCTACCTTAAGAGATTCTTTATTTGCCCTAGCAAAGCTAAAGTAGAGTTTGTTTTTTTTTTTAATCGGATTTTAGGTCTCCTATAAATGCAAGCTTTTATAGTTACTTACATAAAAAATTAACTATTAATATGGAAAGGTTTTAAATTTGAACAATTTTTTACAAATCAACAGATGAAAGTTAGAGAGTTCTTGAGGTTTTAGGTTAACCCATAAATACTCTAACCTATACTAGTTTGGCTTTACCTATTTAGATCGTGATCAAATTTATGTTTAAGTTTATGATTTATTAGAAGATCGTGATAATTCTTCCAAAAGGAAGAACGAGAAGTGGATGCAAATTTGGACTTGTCTTCTTGGAGTGAATTATCAACTAACCACATAAGCACACAATTTTAAAACCATGCTTTTCAGGTCTAATGCATGTAGCATAGATGACTATTATTTAAATAGAATAAGTGGTTTATGTTTAGAATTTAAATTAGAAATTTAAAATATGTCAAGGGTTCAAATGCATCTAAGTAATACAATTTTACAACTTATATTTACACTTCATAAAATAAAAATGGAAATTTGGCTTAGATTGAACTAATGCAAGTATATGCAAGCTAAAAAAGTAAGGTGGGCTGTACAATAAATAAATGTATAGGAATGTGTGATATGACTTCTTTAGGAAAGTAAACAAACTATGGGCTCCAAAAATTTGTCCCCGCCACCCACACTACTTTTCTTTGGGGGAGTTTTAATGGATTAAGTTTTGGGTTAAAGTTTGAGAAGACAGATGACTTTGTAGATAAGACACTACCTAGAGATTTCTTCCTCATTTTGAAAGGACTTTATGATCCGAGTTTGGGTTTCCTATAGGCGCAAGCCCCTATAGTTAATCACCCTTCTCGATAACCAGAAAGAACTTTCGATTAAGGGTAGTCATCAATCAGATACGTTGAAATACGTGTTATCTAGCATACAGTAGGAGCATGGGCTTGGATTTGAGAATTTGATATTTAAAATAGAAATTTAACCATCTTGCACTTAAAGCGGATAGTGGGGAAATGGATGATGGACCCGATGAAGATCCCATGATTTCGTCGTCCTAGGCCATCGTGGTCCATGGTCTACTTAGTTGGAGGAGGTAGTCGATCCAACCTGACAGAAGGATCATTGTCGACAACTATGGGTTGCTTCATCTAAGGTTACCTTGTAGACTTGAAATGGATGTTTGTCTAAGGAGATAAATCTGAATCCATCTTAGATAATAGAGGGCTTTATGCCCTATCGATTATATCTTATTGATTCATATCTCAAGGATTTAATGTCACTAAGGAACATATTGGCTATGGCCATAACTGTAATTTAGCAGTGTCATTTTGCAGCAAAATCACTCAGTTCAGAGGGCCCTGGGTTATAACTGTTTATAATGTAGTGCCATTTAGTGTTAAAAGTGGCAGTCAGAGGACACGTACCACTTCCTTACTGACATGAGATTATTTGAGAATTGATCATAATGATATTTTTGACTACGCACTAGTTCTATATATGCTGAAGTAAATTTTAATTTGTCCACTCCGATAAACTATTGCGGAGCATGGATATATTTTGATTTAAGTGATTTGATAGGTAATTTTAATTTTAAACATCTTTGGATTTTTGGGATTTTGGATTTTTGAGGTTTTGTGTTCGTTTGAGAGGTATTTGAAATATTTGGAATTGACCCCCTCTGATTGAGATTTACATTCAACATGGCCATCATCGGGGTGTTTACGGAGTCATTGCATTTACTTGTATTTTCTAGAAGTTTTAAGGTATTTGAAAACATATGGGAACCCCTCCCGTTGAAATTTTCTATCAACACGGCCATCATCAGGGTGACTAGGGTCACTTGAAAAATTTTTAATTTTGTGGAAATTTTGATATATTTAAAATTAACCCTCTAGTTGAGATCTTCTATCAATGCAGCCATCATCGGGTTGTTTTGAGGTCATTTGGAAATTTCATTGATTGGACCTTATCGACTCTTTCTATTGGTCGATAGAGGATTGGGTCCCCATGGCCTTATATTTTTGTTCATGAATATCTTTTGTTATAGGCCTTGAAAGCCTTATATGAATGTATAAAACAAATATTCTGGTCGACACATTGACCGTATATCTGTTTGATAATTTGAGCCGTATTGACTCCTTTTTATCCATATAGAAAGATCAGGCTCAAACTACGTTCATTTTTTGACCCGTGCAACATCCCTAGACGTTAAGTGTATTCCCGTAACACACTTGTTGGGGCCTATGTAGGTTTATGAGTACACACGTCCTTTTGTGTACCTAAGTGCAAACATATTACATTACATGTGTTGGAGGAATTTTTGGATACTTCAGTTGTCCAGGTAACTGGCATTTAAATTCACTGTTCTATTTATAATCTCTTACAAGCCTTCTGTTTGCTTGTAAACAGGTTGCAGATCCGATGGTGTGGTGTTGCAGCTTGTAGACACCTTCTATCTTCTTGTATGAGTGTTACAGATCCGGTGGCGTGGAGTTGAAGCTTGTAGACACCTTCTATCTACTTATATGTGTGTTGTAGATCTAATGGAGTAGCATAGGAGCTTATGAATTGAGTTTTTTATTGCTTTGTATAGGTAGACTATCGTGCACAACTTGTCTCTTTCTATAGGTAGATTATAGCGCACTAACGAATCTCCCACTTTTACTGATAGATAACTGCATTCACTATAGTTCTCTTGCATTTTCTATATATAGCCTGTTATTTGTACAACAAGTTTCTTATAGTAACTCATTGGCATCCATATTTGTAATGATTCTTTGGCACTTTGCTCATAGGTGACATTTAGCATGTATAAGGGGCCTCCTCCAAGGGCATATATCATTTGCATTTATTATGCATCTTATATGTTATTTGGTTGTAGATAACTTATAGCATGTATACGGGTCTCTAACAGTAGTCCGTGGGAGCTTGTATTTGATGTAGTCCTTTAGCATTTTGCTTGTGAACATTACATCAGAGTCTTCTACAGTAGCTTGGGGGTATATTTATATATTAAAAATCAAAGATTATTTTCAGTTGTTTAATTTTAAAATTATGTTTAATAATTATTATTTTTAGTATTTTCTTTTAATTAATTAAATGATTAAACATTTAATTAATAATTAATTAAATTCAAAATTATTTTTTTAATTATAAAACTCTCATATATATATATATATATATATATATTAATTATTTTATTTTTAAACATATTTGTTTATATTTAAGTATATATGTATTTTAAAGTATTTTAAAATTATATACATTAAATCCCTTAATTTTGAGAGATCCTAATGGAATTATAAACATAGGTTATGTATGCGAATAACATTTATGGGGGGAAGATTAGTGGATGATTGGACTTCAATCATTTACTAATCATATTATTAATTTCGTTAAATTATTATTTAGTCTTCTTTTGCATGTTTAGGATGCACGAGAGCTTAGCTTAGGCCCTCATAGTTCTAAGGACATGGTGTGCTATGTTTTGTTGCATTTCTCTTTATGTAACCCCAAGGGTTAGTCTTTGACACCTGATTTAAACCTACTTAACCTAGCGACATCTTAAGTACAATAATTAAGGATCCGTCTAGCAAACTTAAAGAAATTCTAGGAGCTAAGGTATATCTCTGATTGACATGAAACTTGAAACATTTAAACTTAGTGATATCTTAAACCTCTAAGAACTTTTTAGAAATTTTTAGGGCCCTTTAAACTCTTTAATTAACATTAATTTAAACCCTCAATTAAGCCCCAAAACTTCAGAAATTCTAATAAATTCAAATTAAATCTAAAAATTATTTATAATACCTCATACTCTTCATAATTCAATCTTTAATCTCAAGAAATAAAAAGCCCCTTAATTGGACATCAATTTGAACATTAATTTTATTTTGATTAAAATCACTCTTTTAAATAAATTAAATAATAAAAAATTATTAAAAATTCAAAATTTTTCCCAAACACTTGAAAATATCTCTTTAGGTCATTTATCACATTTGGGGGTGATTCCTAGAGGTTTGGAGCTAATTTATATCAAAACATCTAAAATACCCTTAATTAAAGAATTTTAATAATTCATTAAACACCCTAACATTAACAAATCATAACTAATTCCAGCAAAATCCAAATTTGTTAAAGTATAAGGCATTGAACTCAAATTAAAATTTAGTATTTATTAGAAATACGATCTTTCCAGAAATCACCCTTAATTAAAAAGTCAACTTTTCGATCAACTGTAGTTCGATAACTAGGGCTTGAGATATTTTTGTATTAACTGCCTAGGATAGCCATGCAAGAGAGTCTATATTTTCTTTTTCATAATGTAATTTGTATGTAATGTATTGAGTTGTGAAAGTCTCTAAAGATATGACATTTCAAACATCAGGGATTCAAAGGGAAAAAGAAAGTCTTTTTATAGGGATTTTGTTTTTCATTTGGTTACCCTTCTGAAGGACAAATCCTACGAAGATTGAAGGAAGATGATCCATAGAAGAACTTGAAGTTGAAGATGAAGATGAATTACCTTATTTTTAAGACTTACGTCATTCAGTAGGATTAGAATCCAAATTACTATCGGTAAGGCCTAAATACCATTATTTTTCTGCAGACATGGGTTGAACTTACATGGCACTTTCCATGGTTTTTTTTTACTCTGATGGTTTTATTTATATTAATGTGTTTATTCTATTTGCACCGTAAAAATTACCTATTTTTCATAAGTTTCTTTCTTGCATGTGGATACGCCTGATTTTGATAGGTTCTTTAGGAATAAAATTCTTTTTACTCATACATGAGCTCTAAAATTTTAAAAATTAAATAATATAGAAACCTAACAATCTAGTAAATAATCAAAATCATCCGGGGTCGCATGCACATTAATGCATCCTTTCTCTCCTTTCTTTAAGACACTTCATCGTCTGCAGGTAGAGTCTAAAAAATTTGACCTACGAGGATGAGGTGCTAGATTTGGGAAAGCCTATTCTTTTTTCTTAAAAAATTATTTTATAAGCCTTTTTTAAATTTCAGGCATTTATGATTTGAATACTTTCAACTACCATGTATTGCATTAGAAACTAATTTAATAAAAAAATTAATTATATTAGTTTTAGAAGCATTCAGCCTACAAAATTACAAGACCACTTATGAACCTCTCTAGATGTCGGCCTTAACTTCCAAAAATTGAGCCATCCACCCATCTTTTATAAAGTCCGGACAACATGGATTTTATAAGACTAGGTGGTTAGCTGACTTTTCTTTTTAGACAAGATATAAGTCTAGGATGTATTAACTAGGACACATGTGTCAGTATTGTATATAGAATATTAAACCCATTCTAGATTTAGGGTTTAAGGCTACTACTATAAATTTCTTATAGTATGCTTCATTGGTGAGTAAGTCTTCTATTCTTCAGGGGCTATAAATCTTGCATATCCATATCATATGAATAATGCCACCTCCATCTTTCTCTCTTGTATGCTTTAAGTGTAATGTTTATTTCTTTTCTTCAATTTCCTCACACTACACTGGTTCCTCCGGATATTGGCATGAGCAGTGTATGTTGACTAAGCTTAATTGAACCTTTTTTTCCTTTAAGTTGGAACTTCCTAGTTTCATCCCTATATGTCAATCCCATTTGAGAGAATAATGTAGGATCCTTAATCGAGAATATTCTTAGGCCTCGACTTAAGATATAATTAACACCTCCTTGAGAAACAAAATTTCATATCAAATAAACCACATCCGAGCTGATATATCAGTGGGGGAAACCACATGACTTAGATCAGGTCGAACATATTATTACTAATCGAGGTGCATATGCGAAAGCTAACATCCTCAATGGTTAATCATATATGTGATCTAATCTGCCCTCCCATTGGCCAGCTTGCAAAGAGCGTAAATGTCCTTCGATCGGTTCATCCTTCGGGATAGTGTGGTCGTATCCTCTACACTTTGTCCCCTCACGATAGTGTTCCTTTCAAAGGTCCATAAATTTCTAGCGACCACGATGGGACTCGATTCTCTCTATATCTTTGAATTTTATATTATCCTTTATTGTGTGTACTTTATGATTGGTACTCCTTAAGTTAGGTTTGTCCTACTCTTAGCTAGAGTCCTCCCTAGTTAGGTTCATTTCTTCCTAGCTAGGGTTCTCCAAATCCCTTATATATTCTATTCTTCTTCTCTCTTAATATCATATCTTACTAATCATGTTAAAAATCTTTTATTCTTTTGTTGGCATACAATTCCATGACTTTCTTTGTTCTTTTTGTTACTTTTTGCTTTGGTTTGGACGTGCGGGTGATACTCCCTGAGTCCCTACTAGCTAGTTCCTCTGTTGGAGGAATCACTTTTTATTCTTTCATAGACTCAGTCTTCGTCACTCTTGTCAGGCTGACCCCTACTAAGGCTGCAGTCTTTTCTCCTCCTTAGAAGACAGGCTGCGTAGCCATATGCCCCTTCAGACATCTTGTTGCTCGGTAGACAGCCTGATGTTCCACTCTTGTTCGTGTGAAGCCATTGCACCCAGTGGTTATGAAGCCAATAACTAGACCACCCCTCATTAAGCCCACTCATATAGTGGTTAGGTGAGCACCACCTACTATACAAAATTTTCAGGCTACTCCAACCCCTCAGTGCTGGCAGCTAGTTGTGACTCCTTCGGTTGCTCCAGCAGAGGTAGCTCATGTTCGGGTTTCCCCTCCTTTTTATTCCTCCAGAAAGAGAGGTGCTCTGATCGAGCTGTCTTCAGCTTCTTTCCATCAGGTTTCTATGTTTACTCATCTCTCTCACCTGGAGACCACTAGGTAGAACCCAGCGCTTCCTGTTCCCGTAGCCCCTGTTCCCTTGGTCTTCTGTTTGTTTGTTCAGACTTAGATTTGTCCTCTGCCTCCATCCTTGGGAGAAGGCTCGGAGGAATAAAAATAGAAGACTTTAGTTAGCTACATCAGAGGCATCTAGGAAGCAGATGGCAGACTCAGTGGCTCAGCAGTAGCTAATTCAGAAGAGGGTGGTCCCCGTATATTGGGAGCCACGCCCACTTCCAATTACACCTATCCTAGATGTTGTAGTAGAACTTGAGATAAAAGCAATTTAGGGAGGATGCTTCTCTCCTCTAACACATAGTGGTGATAAGGAGGACATCACTTACATTGCAGCAACCTCTCCTGTTACCTATACTTTATCGCACACTAGGGTCCCCAGGGACCTGCTTGAGCCCTTGCTTAGTGGATTTAGAGTATCATCCGCTTAGCATGTGGTAGAGTACTTATTAGTAGATAGAGGTTACTCTATCAGATTTCTCAGAAGCATGTTCTTTTATAGAGATGGTCCTTGAGGAAGAGGTACCGTTGGCAGAGAGGTCAGCCACCATGACAATTGGTCAATTCAGTTCTTTCAGTTATACCGAAGATAGTTGCTCCCATTATTGGATGATGCCCATGTCGTCATGGACGTAGACATCAATCGGAGCATCGTAGAACTCAAATCAATTCAGTTGTTGTTGCCCCTCCGCAGTTAGATGCCCTAACTGGATCCCATCGCAACAAGTGGGTATTGAGACAAAGACAGGTAGACTCTCTTGTCGGGATAGTACAATTGGTTGAGGCAGTACAGTCAGTTAAGGTAGTTGGGTATTTAGATACATTGGTTCCTTCTATGTTAGAGGCAGTCCCAAAGATTTGTGATACAATGGCAGATATCGATGATCTTGTTCCTCCCGATGGTTTGCCACTCCGGGTAGAGGTAGTTCCAGTTCCTAGCCC